AAAGCCAAAAAAAAAAAAAAAAAAAAAAAAAAAAAAAAAATCTTACTTCAGTGTAGATCTGCACATGGTGCTTTGAAACGTATTAGTCGTCTTTTAGTGTTCAAACCTACATTTAAAGTAGTTTTTGCCCACCATCCCCACACTGAATTGCCTATTCTGAGCTTTATAATGCTCTACAGAAGTCAAGCAAAACAAGTCCTGAATGATGAGGAGCACCAATCTCTGGCTATAAAAAAACAAACAAAAACACACAACTTTAAACTGTTAAAATTTGAGCAATTGCAAGAATGTCACAACCCCTTAGACAAGTCTGTCCTCAAACTTACTGGATAAGGACATGAGTCAGATGTCAAAAAGGTAACCGACAGTTCTTAAGAGATCCACAGAGAACAAGTGCCAAACAATTGGAAAAACCCATATCAAATCCCATTTGAGGGGATACACATGGAAAGTTTTGTTATGCATAATTTCAAATCAAGATTTTTGGCCTTGGAACAGAATTCGGCTTCTGTTTGAATAACTTGCATAAAGAATATTTAGCAACTTGCAAAGTGTTGTACATGAGGCACCATATTTGTTACATAGAAACTTGGTGTCATGTTTAGCAATGCTTCACTCCCCCCCCCCAAAGCTAATGGAGCTTATTGTAATAAAAGCAAACCTGTGTTTTACACATGGAGGGCAACAACCTGCTCATAGCCGGGAGTGATAAGCTCTGAATGCTCCAAGCTGCACTATTCAGAGCTTATGCAGGGCTCCATCACAGGCCAACCACCGACACTGTAGGTCAAATTCTCCTAAATACCCAGAAAAAAAAAAAAAGCAGGAATTTCCCCTGACCCTGGCTGCTGAATCAAGCATCAGTGGAGCAAAAGAAAGTATGTGCTGCTTGGAGATGGAGGGTATAGCTGAACAACCTGATTAATTCTAAAATAAAACCAGATGTCCCTGCAACAGAAGAGTTTATACTTCCCTCTGTACAACCTCCATGAACTTTTGCCATTAAAGAAGAACTATGGGGTAAGTGTTTTTCCCTATAGTTCTCCTAAGGGTCATGGGAGGACATATACTAGCATCCTCCCGTGACCCAAAGCTCAGTATATCGTGAGCTACAGCTTGCCGTATACACAGTCAGCCGGATCCTGAAATTACGGTTGAGATCCACCCAGCTGTGCGATTGACAGCTGACTATTCCTATCTAGAGGGAGAGCCAGCTGTACCCGCCCCCTCCCCTGTCCGTTCCGCCACTCAGCGCTGGAGTATTGGAGCGGGGGGGGGGAGATTCCCTGCAGGGAGCCGTGAGTGACAGTCACCACTCTATGCAGGGAGATGATTATGAAGTGAGCGACGGTATGTGTTCACTCACTTTCCGATCTATTGAGCAGACATGTGACATTTTCATTGTCACACGTCGGCTCTAACTATGAGGTTGAGTGAAAAATCACTCACCTCAGTTCTCCATTAAAAACACAATTAAGAAGGTTTGATGCATTTATTCCTCAGTTTCTAACCTGATGGATGCCTGTGCCCCCTGCTGCATGCAGTGGTTGCAACCGTCCCTGAAGTTGTTAAAACGCCAAAAAAAAAAACAACTTACATTTGCTGCAGCATTCTGGAGGGAAGGTAGGAGACATGGGCTACTGCAGGAAAGGAGAAACTTTCTGGAACCTTTACTCTAGATTGGTTTTAAACCTGACCAGGCAGCTTTAAAGAGAAGGATAGAATAGAAGCTGCAATTGCCGAGGTCTGCTTTGAGAATGCTATGGTCCTGGCTTCAATGCTTTAGGCCACTTGAGTGAACTATAAGGTTAGAGGTTAGGACCTGACACTGTTTACAGCATGCTCGTTTTGGGGCTGTGACATTAAGGATTTAGAGTCACTAAACTCAGGCGTTAAAACTAACAACTTGAATGCATTGTTAAGATTAACAAAGAGCATCCTATTTGTGCATCACTCAGCTGTACATCCTCCAATCATCTCTGTATTGGTGCCGACACTGTCCTTCCTTCTGGAGGGCGGCTACTTTTGTTCCTCATGGACCCCTGAGTGTTGTAAAGTAGTCACCACTCCAAGGTCACTCCTGTAAACTTAAACATGAGATTGTAGTCCATCACAGG